ATTTATAGGCTGGAATTCAAAGGATGGAAAACAATACCACATACACCAGTAACCCATAAAAAAGGGGTAGCAATGCTGTTCACAGACAATCTGAACTTCAAAGCAAGAATGATCAAATGAAATAAACAAGGCCATTGCATACTGGTTAGAGGGGAAAAAATAGCAGGAACAGGTAACAATCATAAATATGTACACACCAAATACAAGAGCACACAACTATATGAAACAATTCTTAACATATATTAAAAATCTAATGTCCAGTGCCACAGTCTTAACAGGACACCTTAACACCCCCTTATCCCATAAAGATAGGTCAAGCAAAATATTAGCAAAGAAGTAGAAGAACTGAACCAGAGCTTGGAACAAATGGACTTCATGAACATATACAGAGAGTTTCATCCACCCAAATCTGAATACACATTCTTTTTAGCTGCACATGGGACATATTCTAAAATATACCACATGCTAGTCCAAAGGTCATGCTTAAGTAATTGCAAGAAACAGAAATTATCCCGTGCATATTATCTGACCACAGTACAATGAAACTGAAAATAAATGACAGAAGAAACCACAAAAAAAACAATAAAAACATGGAAATGAAACAATACCCTCCTGAGCAACCAACAGAGTACAGTTGAAATTAAATGAGAGACCCAGTCCTAGCCTAGGTCCGGTGAGTGTGTGGGAGAGCTTCCTGCTACCCTGCACCAGTGGGACCAGTCCCAGCCCAGGCGCAGCATGGACTGGACCCTCTCCCAACCCCTTGGGACACCCTCCACCACTCCGCAGACCTCCCCCACCACACCCGCCTCGTAGGAATTTCTGCCGCGTTCCGGGAACCCCAAGACCCAGTCCTAGCCCAGGTCCTGTGAGTGTGTGGGAGAGCTTCCTCTTCCCCCTACTTCACCTTGCCCCCTCCAGGCACATCTCAGGCCTGGCATACATGCCTGGGGTGTAACTCTGCAGCTGCAATCCCTGCAGAGAGTGTAGATAGATCCAACCAACTAGTCCAGGAGCAGAACATCTTGCCACAGGGGCACAACAGGTTCACCCTCAAGGGCAGCAGCGGGAAGGAGCTGAGCACAGCAGCCAGACCAAAGCCAGACGCAGCTGGATAAGTCCAAACTTTTTAGAGCTGTACCTGAACTTCAGTACGTGTGAAGGTTATAACTACAGCAAAGATCTACAACAAAGGTCAGAAGACAGTGCTACACAAAATGATGAGAAG